TGGTTCCACCATATCTCGTGGGGGAATGGTTTTATGCATGATGTGTTTTCATGTTTTGATGATTGAAATGCTTTTGAGCTGTTAAGTGCAAGGGCCTTATAATATGCATGTGTTGTTCCATCTAGACGGTAAGCCTGAGTATGTGGTGTCATACAATATGGTGATTCTGTGGGTGGGTGCAAGTGGCGTCTTGCACTGATGTTGGTAATAGACGTATGTGAAGCCTGCATTTCTATGGACAGTAGAATATCTTGACACACATGGCATGATTATCTGTTGCATTGCACTGATTTTGGAACTGATATTGTATATTGCTTTTAGAACTTATATTGCACATGTAAGTGAGCTTGGGGTGGAGAAATCCTTGAGGACCCCTTGCCTTACTGAGATTTCTATTTAGAGATTTCACCCCACGTTTGGGACACATATATCAGGTTCAAGTAACTCGGGGGTTGAGACCTCGGGCGCGAGGAGGGCGGAGCTTAGCTGACTGATGCATGTTGTTTATACTGCCTTGATTAGATGCTGCTTTATTCTTATTATCATGTTATTTGACTTGAGACTATGTAGGGCTTTGTTGCCTTATTTGGTGAGCATGGGGGTGTTCCATGCCACATTGATTGACTATGTTTGACTTTACTATGAGTTATATAATTGTATCAGGATATTGGTCCAGACTACGTGTTGTAGTACTGTGACTTAGATACTTACCTTTACTTATATATTAAGGTATTTCAGTGTATTTAGCTTTATTGAATTTACATACAGGCGATGTCTTATGAAAAAAGGATTAAGTAATCAACTTGGTAATATTAATGACGTCATAATTGAAAAGAAAAAGTTATTTTGCATTTTAAATTAAGCGTGGCTTAATACGATGGCATGTTAGCAATCCGGATATACATGAGGTGTTACATTTTATGGTATCAGAGCACTTTCTAGGGAAAAGCTTGTATGTATTGCAATAACTTAGGACGTATTGTTATGTGTCTGTCTTGTGTGTTTTCTCTGATTGGGTTTTGTTATGATGATGCAATTGTGACCACATTGCGTGGGCCTGATCAACTCATTCCTTATGTAACTCGTGCAGAGTCATGGTAATGCCTAGGAGAAATCGAGAGACGAACGAGGATCAGCCTGATCCTGTCTTGACTGCATTGGCTGAGATGCAGGCGACTAGACTTGCCGATCAAGAGGCCGCTAGATTGGCCAACCAGGCGATGATGGACGCCATTCGCGAGGCGAATCGGAAGACCACATAAGATGTTCTTGAGGCGAACAGGTTGGCGAACATGACCATGATGAGGGTCATGTTGGAGGAGATGCGGGCTGGCCGCAATGAGGGTCAGTTCCCTCCGCTACCACCTCCACCGCCACCACCACCACCGCCTCCACCCAGTCTTCAGGATGATAGCCTGAGTCACGTGGAGGGTATCAGTTAGCATACAGAGGTGATGGAACCCTACCATGAGCCTATTGAGGACCGTGACGTGATAGACCGCTGGCTTAATTCTTTCCGCTAGCATAAGCCACCTTCTTTTGATGGGTCGTATGATCCTATTGCTGCAGCTAGATGGCTTCAGGCGTTGGATAAGATCTTCCGAGTCATGCAGTGCACCAATCCGCAAAAGTTGATGTTTGCGACGTATATGCTGGAGGGCGATGCACATGAGTGGTAGATGAACACCTCTCACGCTTTTGAGATGCATGGCCATTCTTTGAGGACTGCTTTCTTGGGAGATATTTCCCATATGATGCTCAGGAGAGGAAGCAGGGAGAGTTTGACAGATCGGTGTAGGGCTCGTTGTCTGTTGACGAGTACTTGGCTAAGTTTAATGAACTGGTCAAGTTTGCACATTTCAGGATCATTATGCCTACTCCGACATTCTTGGCTGCTAAGTTCCATATGGGACTTAATGAGGAGATAACTGATCGCATTGTTGGAGCTGCATCGAGGGACTTTGGGACACTGGTACAGCAGTGTCGAGACATCGAGGATGTATGCATTGTGAGCAAGGCCAAGAGCACCAAGGTTGCGGAGGTTAAGGGAACTAGTAGTTCCACTCCCTGGAAGGACATGAAGTTTACTGGTAAGGGAAAGCTGTTGGCTGCTAGGCAGGCGCCTAGTCAGTTCAAGAGGAATTCTTCGCAGCAGGGAGGTTTTGCTAGACCTCTTTCCACTCCTAGATGTGCGGGGTGCGGAAAGGAGCATACAGGACGTTGTGCTACCGGCCAGCTGATCTGTTTTCACTGTGGCAAGGAGGGACACTGCTCCAGAGATTGTCCGTCGTCGACGGCGAGAGCTGCAGCGGTTCAGGCAGTTCCACTTCAGATGGTTCCCCTTCTACCTACAGCGGCACCTGTGGTGCCACCTACCACCGGTCGTGTGTACACTTTGGATCGACAGCAGTCGGAGCGAGCTCCGAACCTTGTTAGAGGTACTGTTTCCATTGGTGGATCTACTGTTGATGACTATTTTGACTCCGGCACTACGCATTCTTTTATTACAACCCCGATTGTTGTGGGGCTTGAGTTGCCTAGTGATGTGCTTTCTCCACCGTTGCGGGTGACTACCGTCACCGGAGAAAAGTGTGATACCTCCACTGTGCATCGAGATGTCGTGTTTCAGTGGGATGGCTGTGATTTTTCGGTAGATATGATAGGATTGCCGAGGAAGAATCTGGAGATCATTCTGGGCATGGATTGGTTGTTCAGAAATTGTGTGATGATTGACTGTTGTGCCAAGCGAGTGGTGATGTCTCCGTGTGATTCCACATCTAGTTCGTTGCCTTATATTTCAGTGATATAGGCTAGGAGAGCCTTGAGAGCAGGGGCATTTGGATATGTCATGTTGAGAGGTTTGGTGAGTGGAACACATGAGGATATAACTGGCATTCCTATGGTGAAGGAATTCCTTGAGGTGTTTCCTGAGGAGATTCTTGAGTTTCCGCCACAGCGGGAGATAGAGTTCTCCTCCATAGACTTGTTGCCTGGTGTGGGGCCCATTTCATTGCTGACTTTGAGGTTGTGAGGTGTGGGAGCCATCTCCATGCCATTTGAAGCTTCAAGGTGCCATTTTGGTGGAGAAAAGACCAAGCTTTGGTCACCATTTTCGTGGCTTTGTTGAACCTGAGTTTTGGGACAGATTGGAGAGCTCCAAGAGCCTATTTTTCTGCTGAGTTTGAGCCCCTATAGGTATACCTTGAACTTTCCCTTTGAAATTTCATGAAAATAACTTGTTTGTGTCATGAAAAGAGATAACTTTAATCACTCAAGCTTAGGGTTGTTAATCTAGGGTTAATAAGTGATAATGAACATCTGTTTTGGTCAAAACCGAACCTTGGATCAATGGGAGCCATTTTCACTTCGGATTATGCAGAAAAATTCTGCAGAAAACTGTTCTGCCCGCGTGGTAATCGATTACTTTTCGTTGGTAATCGGTTACCATGTTCAGTAATTGACTACCATGTCCTTGGTAATCGATTACCCCCTGTAAAAATGACCAGAGACCATTTTTAATGCGTGGGAAAGTCCCCATTTGGGCATAATGCCCTAGGAAGTCTGTGTTACTGTTGGGAAACCGTAATATCTTTGATTGAGGGACTTAATGCTAGGTAATTATGAACTAGAAAAGATGTAAACGAAAAAGGAAACGTTATCGTAATGTAATTAACTTTTAGAATTGGAATGTTGATAATGTTTCTATTATTAAACAGACCGTGAGTGGGCTGTTTGGTGACTGTGAACTGTTGTGGACTCTTGGTTTGGACGGATAGCTTGAGAGGTAAGCTTTAGTGTCCTTGGTTTAGCCATTGTTGGTTTCACCATACCCCATGGGGGAATGGTTTTATGCATGATGTGTTTTCATGTTTTGATAATTGAAATGCTTTTGAGTTGTTAAGTGCAAGGGCGTAATATGCATGCGTTGTTCCATCTAGACGGTAAGCCTGAGTATGTGGCGTCTTACAATTTGGTGATTCTGTGGGTGGGTGCAAGTGACGTCTTGCACTGATGTAGGTAATAGACGTATGTAAAGCCTGCATTTCTCTGGCCAGTAGAATATCTTGACACACATGGCATGATTATCTGTTGCATTGCACTGATTTTGGAATTGATATTGTATATTGCTTTTAGAACTTATATTGCACATATAAGTGAGCTTGGGGTGGAGAAATCCTTGAGGACCCCTTGCCTTACTGAGATTTCTGTTTAGAGATCTCACCCCACGTTTGGGGCACATATTTCAGGTTCAGGTAACTCGGGGGTTGAGATCTCGGGCGACAGGAGGCCGGAGGTTAGCTGACTGATGCATGATGTTTATATTGCCTTGATTGGATGCTGCTTTATTCTTATTATCCTGTTATTTGACTTGAGACTCTGTAGGGCTTTGTTGTCTTATTTGGTGAGCATGAGGGTTGTCCATGCCACATTGATTGACTATGTTTGATTTTACTATGAGTTATATAATTGTATCCGGATATTGGTACAGACTACGTGTTGTAGTACCGTGACTTAGATACTTACCTTTACTTATATATTGAGGTATTTCAGTGTATTTAGTTTTATTACAATTTACATACGGACGATGTTTTATGAAAAACGATTAAGTAATCAACTTGGTAATATTAACGACGTCATAATTGAAAAGAAAAAGTTATATCTATAATTAAATCTTTAAAGGAGGCATAAATATATTTATATGTTTAAATATTTAAGGAAATAATTAAAGAATAATTTAAAAAAAAATTAAATACCAAAGTAAGACATTTCTAAAATATAGTATAATTGCTTTTAATCTTAATTAAAAAATCATATTAAAATTTTACATTATTCATAAACCATATAATATTATTTTTTGTTTTATTTTATTTTATTACATACAAAACCTTAAATTATTATTAATTATAATTAATTATTAGTTGTCAGGCTTTGGTTTTGATTTGTTGATCCTTTATATATAGATTCGGTGCTCACCTCTTTGCCTTCACATATCACATCACTACTGTAGCTGTTTAGGGTTTGTTTGCTCTCAAATCGGAATGGCGGAAGAGAGATTCACCGGCGTTGTGCAGTGGTTCAACAATCCCAAGGGCTTTGGTTTTATCAAACCCGATGATGGAGGAGAAGATCTCTTCGTTCACCAATCTTCCATCAGATCCGAAGGCTACCGAACCCTTCTAGAAGGAGATCGTGTCGAATTCGCCATTGCTACTGGCGACAACGACAAGACCAAAGCCATCGACGTCACCGGTCCCGACGGCGCTCCTCTCCAGTCCAGGAAGGACAACTACGGCGGCGCCGGAGGTCGCGGCGGTGGATACGGATTTGGCGGTGGATGGAGGGGCGGCGATAGGCGCAATGGCGGTGGCGGAGCTGGTGGTGGCGGCTGTTATCATTGTGGTGATTTTGGGCACTTGGCTAGGGATTGCAACCGGAGTAACAATTCCGGAGGTGGTGCATGTTACAATTGTGGCGAATTTGGGCACCTTGCGAGGGATTGCATGCGGGGAAGCAATAGCGGCGGTGGCGGTGGTTCCGGCGGTGGCAGCGGATCTTGCTATAGGTGTGGTGGGTTTGGGCACATGGCGAGGGATTGCGCCACTGCTAGGGGTGGCAATGGCGGTGGCGGTGGCGGTTGCTTTCGATGTGGGGAAGTTGGTCACCTGGCCAGGGATTGCAGCATGGAAGAAGGTGGAAGGTATGACGGTGGTAACAATGGTGGCGGTGGCGGTGGTGGAAAAAACACATGCTTTAATTGTGGGAAGCCTGGGCATTTTGCGAGGGAGTGCGTTGAAGCCTCTGGGTGAAGTGAAGTTTGGAGAGGAGAAATTACATTATGCAAAAAAGGAAAAAATGGTAGAATAGTACATAATCTCTTTTTTTTGTTTGCACCTTTTAATAGTTTATTGACTTTTTAGTCTCTCTTATTCTTCTAATTTCGGGGAAGTTATACACAGAATATTATGGCAAAAATTGTGGTTTTGGTTTTTGTCTCTGTTACTGGTTCATCACAGGCAATTTTGCCTTCCTTTGTGGTTTATTTCGTAGTTGATACTGCCTGCTAGATCTTGTTTCTGATTAATATAGTCTGACTTTTTTGTTCGAGAGTTCTTGAAATTTTAGATCCTCATTTGTTTGTCTGAAAGGTTCCTAAGATCATGGTTTTGATGTTTAATATGTAAATTAGACTGTAGTTTATGAGATATTGTGGAGTGTGCCCCTTTAAATAGTGGGCAAGATAAAGCACTGTGTGCCTATGCCTTTTCAAAGATGCATGTTTTGTGGGTTTGGACTTGATTATCGATCCTTATTAACATTAATTTGGATTGATACTTGCAACAATGGGAACAAAGATTCACTGTTGATGAAGATTACTGGTTGTTTCTTGTCCTCTGTAAAATCCCATTCTAATGAGTCTTGAAAACATTGTAAATAGGTTGTCACTAGTTTTTGTACATGACCTTTAAGTCTACACATTTCCCACCGTGTGCCCATTTTAAGCTCTTTCACCATTTCACTTCATATGTATAGTTTATGGGAAAAACACTTTCTCATATGACTCTTAAATTTGTGTGCAAAGTTTATTTTATTTTATTTGAGTCATGACGCTAGAAAATAATTTATATATTTGTAATGGGATAACTGATTCTTGGGCATTCGTCCCCTGAAACTTTATCTGGATCATGTTATGGGCTTAATATATTACTCGGCTGTTATATTCTGGCAAATCATTTGAGCTTCTGTTGGGGGATGAGGATGCATCTCCAACTGGGATTGTGTGTTTTACACTACTTTAACTAGTTTAGTTCTGTGTATTGTATTCCCCATCTTCCAATTATTTTGAACTTAAAATCTGTGAAATTGTTTCTCTTCATTTTGTTACTCTTATTCGTTGCTTAGGAGGAGTTTGTTCACATACAATTTAGTTTATCCATTGAAGCACGCATCCTACTTCTTTTCTAATAATTTTTGTTTCGTGCATAACGTACATTGGGTTGGGCTTGTGACCAAGTTAGATCTACCCGTGCAGAATCTGGGATACTGAACATAGTTGTCAATCAATGGTTGTGCCTGTGCAATCGATTGTGACTGCTATTCCTAAGTTACGAAATATGAATGTTATTCATATTTCCTTGTTTGACAAGCTGCCAAAACGAAATATAGCCAATTCTCTTATGTTTGTCTACCACGGTAATACTTGTTCACTATAGGGTTCCAGATTCAGTACATAAAAGACGATAGGGATCGAACGTGTGAATCGGAGCGGAATTGTAATGTGAATCGAATAAGGATGTGTAATGGATAGTCGTTTATTGTTATATTGAAAATGAGATTTGCCTTCATCATTTAACATGATCACAAAAAGACGATAGGGATCGAACGTGTGTGAATCGGAGCGGAGTTGTAATGTGAATCGAATAAGGATGTGTAATGGATAGTCGTTTATTGTTATATTGAAAATGAAGTTTGCATTCATTATTTAACATGATTACAAAAAGTTTTTTACAAACACAACATTTTGTGGGACTAGCATGTTTTGAAGAAAAAAAAAAATACGACACGCAAAACGATTCTCTATACAAAAAAATAAATAAAAAAATTCCAGATTTCTTTATTTGTGGTCTCATTCTTTCTTTTTCTCTCTTCTTGTTCTTTCTTTTTCTTTCTCGTATTTAAAAATAAAAAAATCCGAGATTGTTTACCTTTCTTATATATATACGTGCTATCATACTACATTGATAATGAAATTAAGAAAAAAAAGTTTTTTTTTTTAATTTTTTTTTAAAATAATAAATCTTATAAATTTAAATGGACGTACAATAATTAATGTAAAGATTTTTTTTTAATGTAGTCAACTAAAAAATATGATAGGGTCCCAAGAAAAGTTTTATGGTGGGTTCTTGAGAAGAAAAAAGTACCCTCAAAGTATATAAATGCAATCAAGAATATGTACGATGAGGCTACTACATGTGTGAAAGCTTGTAATGGAACAACAAATTATTTTTCTATTACAGTAGGTGTACACCAAGGGGTTCGGCTCAGAGTTCTTATCTCTTTGCCTTAATGATGAATGAACTAACAAAAGATATTCAAAGTGTCGTGAAGCACTTTGGAGTCTAAAGGTTTCACGGTAAGCCGGAGCAAGACTGAGTATATGAAGCGTGAGTTTTCTCTAGTAAGAGATGGAGATCAAGATCCAGTGCATCTACTTGGTCAAGAGGTACCTAAGAAAGATGCTTTTAGATACTTGTGATCAATTTTGCAGAAGGATGGTGAGATTGATGAAGATGTAAATCATAAAATCAGAGTAGGATGGATGAAATGGCGTTGTGCATCTAGATTTTTGTGTGACCGCAAAATCTCCTTTAAGCTAAAAGGAAAATTCTATAGAACAACAGTAAGACCTGCAATGTTATATGGAGCTGAATGTTGACTAGCACATAGACAACACAAGCATAAAATAGGAGTAGCAGAAATGAGAAAGTTAAGGTGGATGTGTGGTTATACGAGGGTGAATAAGATAACAAAATAAAGATATTCGACAAAAGGTAGAAGTAGTACCGATAACTGAAAAGATGAGGGAGCATAGATTGAGGTGGTTTGAGCACGTAATGAGACGGCCCCTGGATGCTCCCGTAAGAACAAAAGTTTGTTACCAAGAGCTTGACACAAAGAGATGTAGAGGTAGACCAAAACTTACCTGGGAAAAAAGTAGTTAAACAAGACTTAATGGAGTGGGATATAGATTGACGGACAATGTGTTTTAGGACGGAATGGAGAAAAACTATAAGCAAGGTGGAAGGTTAAACCCGTTGTTATTCATATATTCCAGATGATTATTTTTTAGTCATTTTTCTTTTCAATCCCCCTTCTCTTTCTTTTCCCTTTCTTGTCTTTTATCTTATTTCTCCCCTCCCCAATTTTTATTTTTATTTTATTTATTTATTTTTACTTATTTTATTCTATTGTTATTATTTTTATTATTTATTATTTATTTATTTTATTTTATTTTATTTTTTATTTTTTTAATTTTTATTTATTTATTATTGGGTTCATTTACCATCGACCCAATTAACTTGGGTTAAAGGTGCTGTTCATGTTCACTCAACTAAAAAATATGTGAACTAACATGTAATGGATGATTGTTTCCCTTTCTTATATATATGCGTGCTATCATACCATTTTAATCCTACAATTTTTTTTGTTTGTTTCAGAACTTGTGCATTTAAAAAACGATCAAAGGTCAACTAGTAATTTGCAAATTATGAAGTTGAAGTAAAATTGTTAAATACAATACAGAGAATTGCATTTTTCACCCGACTATGAAAAGTAAAATAATGAACACCTTAATTAAAATAGAAAAGTAAAAAAGTAAAATAAAAGTGATATCCAATTCACTTTCTCATAAATCTTAAAATATTACTAATAGTGAATACCAAGGAAGTACGGACACTTGTAAAAACAGGAAGAGTCGGGTCCGACACGCTCCGACACGGCGACACGCTCCGACACGGTGTCGGACACGCGGTTGATTTTTTTCGACACGTTGACCATTTCGACACGTAAATTTGACCGTGTCCGACACAGTCAAATGACATTTTCGTAATTTTTTTTATTTTTAATTTTTGATTTTTTTTGATTTTTTTTTTAATTTTTTTTAAAAAAATTTATTTTTTTAAAAAGTTAAAATATATTAATAAAGCTTCCACCTGATCATATCAATTTTATCTTTTTGTCTTTTTTCCCCTTAAGTAGATAAGAGATCATCTCAGCATCATTGTTGTCAATTCCTACCACGCTCTTGTTGTATCTTCTTCTCTCTGATCTCTCTCTAATATGATTTGATCTCTCTATCTGATATTATATCTCTCTCCCATCCCAGTTCTTATTTTTTTTATTAAAGCTTTCATCTTTATAACGTGTTGATGAGTATTATTAATTTAGTTTCATTTTTTTTGTTAAATTATTAAATATTAAATGAAATATACACTATATAAATTAAAATATTATTTAATATTAAAACGTGTCCCAACGTGTCGAAATCCATAATTTTTTAGGATTGACGTGTCGGAGTGTCGTGTCGTGTCGTGTCACGTGTCGTATCGGTGCTACATAAGTGAATACTATCTTAGAAGTAAGAATTGATTATTGATTAATAAAATAATTTCTAACTCTTCGAAATAATTTATTTCTTTTCTTTAGAATGTTGTGAAAGTTGCTATTAGAGGACAAACAGTATCTCACATTTTTTTGAACGTGTGTGCTTTTAAACAAATTATTTATTATTCTGTTTGAAAAAAATAATGAAACAATTATTGAAAAACGCCATTGTATTGCTTATTGGTTTATGACATTCATAGTAGGAAGCATGTAGTCAAAAGGACTTGGCAACTTTCAAGACAAAGAGAGCCAAGGACAAAATTTGCATGAAAACTAACAAGTATAAAGTAAATAAGAAAACATTATATAATCGTCAAGTATGTGGATCAAGTGACGTAGGATTTTTGTAGCTTAATCAGTAATTTTTAGTTTAGATCTTAGATATGTTATATATATATTTAAGTATAATTTAAGAAATATAATAAACAAATTATTTAAAATTTATAAAAATCTACATAAATAATTTAAAATAATTTGAATTTTAAAAATAAAAAATGATATCCTATCCTATCCCATAAACAAATTATTTAAAATTTATAAAAATCTACATAAATAATTTAAAATAATTTGAATTTTAAAAATAAAAAATGATATGTATTATTTTTTCAAAACAGTCAAATTATTCTTGAAAAATATATATTCTAATTAACTAGATTGAAACTGGTAATTTCAAAAGAGAACTTTCCAGCTGACCTCACCTTGACTTCATTCTTCATTTTTATGTTACCTAAAACCTATGATGCACAGACAGTGACACGGGACATGACACGACATGACACGTCGACACGTTAATTTTAAAAAATGTCATATTTCGACACGTTGGGACACGTTTTGATATTACATAATATTTTTAATATATATAATATAGTTTATATTTAATACATATAACAGCCCATAATAAGTCATATAACTAATCAAATATTCAAATTTTATAACATAAATATAAACAAAAACAATTTTTCATACCTTGTTAATTTTTCATGTTAAATTTCATAACAGAGAAAAATTAATTTATAAATTATTTTTCATGTTTATTTAATAAAATAATATTTTATAAAAAAATGTGTCGGATGCGTGTCAGAGCGTTGACCGCGTGTCGAAAAAAGTTGACTGTGTGTCGAAAAAGCATGTCAAAATGTGTCGGAGTGTTGACTGCGTATCCTCTAATGTTGATCGCGTATCGAACACGCATTTTTTTAAAAATTTAAGGTGTCGGTGCTTTGTTGCCTAAAATTGATCATGGCAAGTGGGTGGTGAATTCATGATTTGTGGATATTTGATTTATACAAGAAGCACTTTTAAACTAATGATAAAAATTATTATGCTTCAAGCCACGAATGAATTATTCCTATCATTAGAGGTGAGAACATCTTTAATTTGTCAGGCGGGTCATGGGGGAAGCCCGTGGCGGGGCACCACTAATGAGCTAAGTTACTCCAAGTACACCAAGTGGGTCCGACACCAAGTGGGTCCGACACCATGTCTCAACCATTGTGTTCATGGGTCCTTCCACTTATATGCGCTCCCCCTCAACTGAGTACTCCTGGCCCAAGTACTCAACCCGCCTCCTAGCCAATCACATAGCTAGCTCGAGCACAACCCGGCTCTGATACCACTGTCAGGCGCGTCCAGGGGGTAGCCCGTGGCGGGGGCCACCACCAATGAGCTAAGTTACTCCAAGTACACCAAGTGAGTCCGACACCACATCTCAACCCAAAACCTTAAGGCATTGGGTTCATGGGTCCTTCCACTTGTATACTCTTCACTTAGCCCATTAGCAACCAATGTGGGACTCATCACACTTGAATATCCCAACAATCTCCCCCTCAAGTGTGAAACCCACCATTGATTTGCTCCCCCCTCAACTGAGTACCCGAATACCCGAAGCGGAAAGTACTCGAGCCCAACCCGGCTCTGATACCAATGTTAGGCGGGTCCAGAGGGGAGCCCGTGGCGGGAGACCACCACCAATGAGCCATGTTACTCCAAGTACACTAAGTTGGTCCGACACCACATCTCAACCCAAAACCTTAAGGCATTGGGTTCATGGTCCTTCCACTTATATACTCTTCACTTAATCCATTACCAACCAATGTGGACTCATCACACTTGAATACTCCAAGATAATTTACTATAAAAAAGAAAGAAAGAAAAGCCGATCATGGCATCAAATTCACAAAGTTTGATGTCACGTTCCGCATGGTTGACTTATTTCCTTATTTATGGTAAATTATATAGTAGCTATATATTAAAATTGATTTATAAATTATTTAAGAGATTTTTCAGCACAATTTTATGTATTTGAAATTTACAATAATTAATTATTAAAATAAAAAATTATAAACTAATATAAAACAATATATAAATCAAATCTTAAATCGAGAAACATAATACTAATATAATTTGTAAATATCTTAAAGAATTCTCAACAAATCCATTTTATTTATTTAAGATTTACAATTGATGATTATTAAAATATGAAATTATCAATTTTTATGTTAAAAATCACTAATCAAATCTTAATTGATTATTAATTAAATCAAAAAACATTACACGATATCCGTCCGCATACAACACTATTCTTGATTTTTTTCAGAATCCTCAATCGATGTTTTTATAGGTAGATTCATTAATTGGATCTGGATCTTACGCAAAATAACTCAAATATTCACTAAAATTCTGACACTTTTTCGACCTGCACAGTGATCTATATATATCTCATGTTCACACAAGGATTTATGCACGCATGTATCTATATCTAGGGGTGAAGCTGGCCGGGCCGGCCTACAGGAGCTTACGGCTCGGCCTACATCAGGCTAGACCTGACCTAGTATATTTTGTATAATAAGCCGGGCTCGAGTCTTAAAAAAACCTGTTTATAAGTCTACAGGCCGGCCTATATTGTACTATTTATATTAAATAAAATAAAATAAAATAGAGTAAGTATGCCTTGAAGAAAAAAAAAGATATAAATTTAATCAATTGCAATTATTTATAACTTAATCATATTCAATTATATTTTAATAGAAATTAATCTTACTTTATTTCTTATATAGGAGGAACCAACATCTCAACATGTTAGATTGTGTATATGAATATATTAAAATATTTTTGGCAGAGGTTATACTTACTACATGCATCATGATGTGTTTGTTGGATTCATGTAGTTATTTTAATTTACATAGTAAGGATTTGTTTGTTGGATCTGATGAAATATATGTTATTTAATTTGAGCATTTTGCTTTTGAAAATGACTTAAATGCATATTGTATTAGTTTTGTTATGATTCATGATTCTGTTTGGACGTTGAAATTATGATTTTTGGTGTAGCAACATAATTTGAGTACTTTGTAAAGTTGATTCATGGTTCTGCTTGGAAGTTAAAAATTAACAGGCTAACGAGCCAAGCCAGGCCATTTGTTTTTTTTTTCATAAACGGGTCAAACCAGGCTAACAGTTAGACTCATACTAGGCTTGGGTCGGGCCAAATTGAAATTTTTTAACGTAGGCTTGGACTTTTCGGGACAAAACTCGGCCCAACCCACTTTAACCCCTATATATATCTCATCTTTCATCCCCTCTCTCTTTCTCACTCCGCAAAACCTTGTTTCATATAGCATCCAACTCGAGAAGCCAAATTGCTCCATCCATAATTTACGTTTCATCGTGCATTAATGTGCCGTTTTTCAGCAATGGCTGCTTCAACTCAATTTGCTCTCACTTTGCTCTTTCTGTTTCTCTTTCAGTTCCTAACAGGTGATTTTTCCATTCTCACATAAATATCATATGTATGTTAATTACAAAAACTACTATAGCGATCCAAGAATTTTGGTTAAGGGAGGAGAAATTATACATATTTTAAAATTTAAAATGAAAAGAAAATCAATTTTCATGTAAGGGGACAAAATTATATATACACGTAGCAACATATAATTTAATATTATAGATATATAATGTTCACGGTAAACCGAAGCATATAGCAACATGTAACTCTTTGTTTTCGTTTAAGAATAATGTTAACTGTTATCATGAGGGGGGTGCACTATATACATGTAGCAACATGTAATTTAAAATTATATATATATATATATATATATATATATATATATATATATATAATCTTAATTGACACCAAATAAATGTCAATATAATTATGATATATTGGGAATTACATAAAAAAAATCATTTAATTAATCATTAATTGCCAATAAATGATAATCGATGATTGGCAGAAATCAACGGTTAGGATTTGGTGTCAAATTTCAAAATTTGACACCGGTGTCAAAGGATCATATCCCTATATATATATATATATATATATAAGAGGAGTGTTATACTTACTATTTTTTTTTACAACCATATATTTTAACACCGTTGATTTTCGGCAATCAATCAACGGTTATCTTTTATTGTGAATTAATAATTAATTAATGAATTTAATTTGTGAAAATTATACCCATTGATTGACGGAAATCAACCGTGTTAAGATATGGTTGTAGAAAATTGTAAAAAAAAAATTGTAAATATATGTTCGTTGTGAACCCTTGCATATAGCAACATAACTTCATGTTAACGAGTAACTCTTTGTTTTCGTTTAAGAATAACGATGCAGATAATGTTCAATTTTTCATTGTGTTTTGTTTTGTACAGGTTCGAATTCAGCCACATTCACAATCGTAAACAAGTGCAGCTACCCCGTTTGGCCTGGCATTTTGACCGGTGCCGGAACGACACAACTCGCCACCACGGGTTTCGCCCTGCAACCTGGCGGGTCCAATGCTGTCGCAGCGCCCACCGCCTGGTCAGGCCGCCTATGGGGTCGAACCCTATGCTCCACGGACTCCACCGGAAAATTTTCATGCGTCACGGGAGACTGCGGCTCCTCCGTCGTGGAATGCAACGGAGCTGGCGGTGCCCTGCCCGCAACACTAGCGGAGTTCACCTTGAATGGTGCAGGGGGAATGGATTTCTATGACGTCAGCCTGGTCGACGGCTACAACCTCCCAATGACGGTGGAGCCGCATGGCCTCGGCGGGAACTGCACAGCCACGGGTTGCGCGGTGGACTTGAACAAAGGGTGTCCCACGGAGCTAAAAGTGATGACGGCGAGTAATGAGAGCGTGGCGTGTAAGAGCGCATGTGAAGCTTTCGGGGATCCACAGTATTGTTGCAGCGGCGCTTACGGGACTCCTCAGACATGCAAACCAAGTTCCTACTCGCAGTTCTTCAAGAGCGCTTGTCCACGCGCTTATAGCTATGCCTACGACGATGGCACTAGCACCTTCACTTGTGCCTCTGCTGATTACCTTATTACTTTTTGTCCTGCAAACTCCAAAAAGTAATTTACGAGTCTACAAGTTTAATTATAATAATAAAAAAAAAGTTGTTTTTAATTTATTAATGTTATTTGTTTTTCAAATCTACAGGAAATCCCCAATGGAGGGGGTCAACTCCCCAATGGAAGGGGCCATCTCGAGAGGGCATGTCCAAGTAGGTGGGTCGGCGAAGGTCATGGCAGTGGTTATTGGTGCTGTTTTATTGGCAAATTGGGGGCAACTCAATTAGGTGGTGCAACGAAACGAACACTACATAGGTAGTTGAATACCTGAATTTGATGGGCAATGTGGCTATGCCTGTTTGCCTAATATTATACAATGCCAATGTCTCCCTCACTCACATTTAGAAGATTTTGCGTTTGTATTGGCTTTTTAATAAAGCTCTTTTTATCACTTCCTTATTTTAAAAGTACTTTCTATAAAAGTTACAGCTATTTAGATTTTTAAAAAAATATTTGATTTTTGAAAAAAATATTTGGCTTTTGACTTCTGCTTTTTTTAAAAGTTAAAATTTTTAGCTTCTGAAAAAAAGTAGGTTTTTGACTTTTTTTTATGATTTCTGCTTTTTTAAAAAACTGGCATCCAAACAGACTTTTGTCGAGAAGAGCTTTTTTTCTCTTAAAAAAGTAGCTTTTGAAGAAAAAAAGCTCATCCAAACGGGCTCTTAGAGCACGTACTTTTCACTATAAAAAACAAAAAAAGAAGAAGATTTAGGACAGAGGTATCATTCATCACCCGACCCACAACCCCAAACACCCATAGAAGTCACATAGTTAGCACCATTCAAAGGAGACACATCTAATTGCCTTATTTATTGTGTATAAGATTATTACATCATACAATTTTTAATTATATCATTTTTTGTGAGAGCCAAAGTTATCTATATCTTTTATTTGAGTCCTAGGG